ACTTTTGATCGATTTACAAATATTCGTAAATTTCACACAGGGTAGGGAGGTAATTAAATACATGTTTTTGATAATTCAAGAAGGGACTGAGGGGGTGGGGCGATTACAGCACGTGTTAAAACATTTAAATAAGTATTATTTCGTTTGTTTGACAAGATATTGTTAGATTATATTAAAAAAAAATATTTTTGATATGCCTATGGAATATTTAGAATTTTGATTTAAAACTTTTAACACCGCATATATCACGGTAACCAAGCTATTTAAGGGTCCATACTCCTATATCATAATTCATTAATTAAGGAGAACTCTCCTTTAGTAGAACGTTGTCGGTCGAATATACTATCACCCTATTCGCTCTGTGCGTGATAGCAGCGCCAATTCGTTTATGTACTAATGAACTATTTTTGCGTATACTGACAATACAATATACATGTTGGAGCATTTTTTTTGGTATTACACATAGTGTTAGACATTGCATAACTGCTGAACGATAAATTTCTAATAGTATCTAACGCAGATTTTGAATCTGCCATTATTACAACATTATATGGGTTTTGAACTAACCATTCCAAGGCACTTTCTATAGCAAAGACTTCGGCTGAGTACACCGAGCAAAAATCGTGTATCCTTTGTTTAAGTGTAGATTTGTTTGGAATATATACAGCATATCCTGTTCCGACTGCTGTTTTGGAACCGTCTGTATATATTTTTAAGAAATTATCATATTTTCCAATTACAGAGTTGAGTATAGCTTGATTAGAAGATGAAATATCACAATACGTTGGGACGATTACAGTTGGTTTGAATATTATTGTCAAATATTTTAATTCAAATATGGGTAATTTTTTAAAAGTTGGCACCATGTTAAAGATAATTGAAAGTTTTGAGTATGCTTCAACAAGTGGTGGATAATTCTTTTCCGCCCAATATTTGTCAAATTTTCAATATACAATTCAAACAATTTTTTATTTATTGCATTTATTTTAGCATTGATCTTCTTATTTCAAGGGGTGGTCCTTGTGCTTTAGCTAAAATTTATAAGTGAGGATTTTAAAGCACCTATACATATTCTTACAGTAGCATATTGCACTCTTATCAATTTTTTTGAGGTGAATATTTGCAACTGCTCCGCACAAAACAGATCCATAATCAATTATAGAACGTATATATGCTTTGTAAAAGAGTAGAGCGGTATAAGGGTTTTAGTTATACATTTCAACAAGTTCATTCTTTAACATTAATTTTTTATTATTATTATATATTTTTATCGCTTAAACTAATAAATTATTATTTTCTTTTCTACGCTACTTTATGACAGTACGTCACTGGTAGACCGGAAACACTTGTCGCCATATTCCAAGGTCGTTTAGGATTCCTCCTTCCTGACTATATATATTCTAAGGTGCCAACGGGGTAGATCTGAACCTCGGTATAACCCGAGAATACCGATCAAGGAGAAGCGACAGTAGCTGTCGGTGCCTTTGATATCGGATGTACCTTTTTCACAGCACGACTTTGATTGATACACAACTTAGCACGCTGAGAAAACATGCTTATTTTCTACACTGAGCGAAAAAATTTGGCAAATTATCTGAAATTATTGTTATAGTCCATGCGCAAATGTTGCAATGCGATTTAATTACATTGAAGTAGTTAGGGTTAATAGCAATGGTGAAATTTGGGCACCAAAATATAATTCATTATGTAATAATTAATTATTTGTTATACAAGTGTAAATTAAAAATTTAAAAAAACCGACTTCAAAAACGTGCAGATGCCATCACCACATCTTAACCAAATTTATATGGGATCACCCCTGAGGTACCCCCTTACTAACAAAAAAAGAATCATATAAATCGGAAAAGGTGGTAAAGCATTATCGCTAAACATACATAAAAAATGAAGAGTTTGAGGATTTTCTCATGGACCCAATTTTTAGATTTTGACCAAATTTATATGGGACCACCTCTGAAGTAGCCCCTTTCTAACAAAAAAAGAATCATATAAATCGGACAAGGTGGTAAAGCATTATCGCTAAACATACATCAAAAATGAAGAGTTTGAGGATTTTCTCATGGACCCAATTATTAGATTTTGACTAAATTTATATGGGACCACCCCTGAAGTACCCCCTTTCTAACAAAAAAAGAATCATTGAAATCGGACACCGTGTTAAAGAATAATCGCTGAACATACATAAAAAAAAAAAATATCGCGACGAATTGATAACCTCCTCCTTTTTTGAAGTCGGTTAAAAAAAATTAATCAATAAAAATCAATAATAAAATATAGGCAGGCAACAGTATTTACGGTAAAATGTATGAGAAGTTGCCTAAGTCTAATAAGTTGTCTTTGAAGAATTAACCTATTCTGTCAAAATAAAAAATACTATATTTAATAATAGCATGAAGTGAAAAAAAAAAAACAGATGGATTGTTGTATATTTTCATTTTTGTTCGAAATAAAACATAGAATGAATGATTAAAACTGGTTTCCTATCAGTAAGTCACAAAATTGCATTCCAGCCACATACAATAATCAAAAACAGAAATCTAGTTCTTGCTGAACATTTAAGATTAAAATGATAATTTATTGTTTATTTAAAACCTTTCAAGTTTCTGATGTCTACTATTTCCAGTATTACTGTTATTATTACAAAAATAAAGTTAATTTTTCTTCTTAATGTCCATTTATTTTCTTGATTTAATTTCCACTTTGCTACTGAACATTTTTATAATTTACACTGTTTTTGTTTTTTGCTAGTATTTATACAATTTTCAACACAGCAACTCCGGTTGCTTATTGTATTGTTTTTACCTAATCTTTTGAAAAAAAAAAACAGTAAAATGTATAGGTACGTGTACCTATTTGAAATACCAAAATTACAAAATATCGCCCTAAATTGCACGAATTATCCGCAGCTAGCGCGTACCTAACCAGACTATAAATATGTACTAAATTCTAAAATCGTTTATTTACGACACAGCTAGACCTGGACTAGACGAATCAGTTTATGTAGGTACCCCTACCACTTAAATTTAAACCAACAATAACACGTAGCCAATAGCTTATTACTTACATTCGTCCAATTAATATCGATACACTTGTAAATCTGTTCAGGTTGGCTGACTTTTTTCTTCTAATAGGGCGTGATATAAATATATAAATGCTTTCTTTTTATTAACTATAAAAATATTTTGCTGATGATTAGTTTAACTTTATTGCTACCAATACACACACAAGTTATTACACAAAATAACATAGATATACCTAGTTACTGCCAAGATCAAAGATTGAGCCAGCAAGTAAGCAAAACTCTCTTTCACGCAACTCAGATTTTAAATTGGTAATATAGGTACATGTGTGCCAATTCGAATTAAGTACTTATTATGTTTTTGTCATTTCTAAGAATTAGAGAATCCGATAATTATGGATTTAGAAGGGATATAAAAATTACAGTTTGTTTTTGAGGTTTACTCTGACATTATGCATGATACGTAGTGTGAAAGTAAAAGTTGGAGCAAATTACATAAAATCTTTATCGGATTAATAATAAGCATATAATCCACTACAGATCAGTTTTATTTTTTAGATGGTATTTTTATAATAATCATTATATTTTTACTAGTCGAGCTATGAATTCATAACATGCTTTTTTAGACACCCGTTTTTTTATACATAGAACGAATCATTTAAAATAAATTATTTGTGTAAGTAGTTACCTATAGACGTCAAATTTTCGAAATATATTTTTTTTACATAATAATAATTGATAAATGGATAAATAATTGATAAATAATCAAAATCGACTTACACATTATTAAAAAATCAAATTGTTGCAAACATTAAAATTTTTTAATTTGAAAAACACTTCTTTATCAACTATATGTACATAATTTTAGCGCCCTCTTTCATAGAAATAATAAAAACTAAAATAAATTTGTAGAAATCAGTAATAAACGCTTGATATATCATAACAGTTCGCTTTTGCAATGTGATTTAAATGATGCTTTTCTCACACACTTTTAGGCGGACAGTATATAATTACTTTTAAAATTTCCCGCCTACGGAAAATTGCCAAGCCGAAAATTATCGAATTGTCACCAATCACAACTAACAGGGTTGCCACGCTCAGTATTTTTTCATTTGTTCACCTTATATAATGTTTGAGAACAATCTAACGAAATATTTCGCTATTATTTGTTGAATTTATAAACATTTGTACCTTGTTGTGTTAATTATAAAACATTTTCTATTATTCTACTGGTGCGTAATTTTCAAATAAATTGAAATATTTAAAAATAAAAGAACTAGCAGCCAGTTGCAACAACGTTCATTTACACTTATGGTTCCAATAAACTTCGACTTGAAAATATGCATGTGAACCGTCTGAATGATATGAACGTCAAATTACGTACAGTCTAATAAAGTAATGGGATCATTAGTTATTGCACATACTTTGATTTTCTTTTTAACCAGCGTTCTTGCAACGCGGGTGTATATCTAGTTGACAGTCCGATATCTTTGACATATGGAATCATTTAGGTTAACCGAGGATTGTTTTTCGTGTGAATCTGACATTTAGAAACACATATTGAATAATAATAATAAGGGAGCTAATATACAATTATACATTCCTGATTTTAGCTCGTCATCGGATGATTAAATATAACCTTCAAAATTTCCAATTTAAGTTATCTACGATGTCCAATCATAATGAGTTTTGACAACATTATGACATTTATGACATTGATCTTTGCTTAGTGTCAAAAGCCATGCTAAAAACTGAGTAGATGACATCATTATTTATTGGTACTATATCTATCGATTACAGATGTAATAGTCATTTAGATTTAGATTACTATTGATTTATTGCTGATAACGCCTAGTTTTTTTAGTAAAATATTCAAATTATCAACCATTTTGACTCCAGTTTTTGCAAATAACTGGCAGACTATGACAGGTTTATAATTTATAGCACACATATGTAATGTCGCCTTTAATTTGAATGTACGGTTGACTCGAGCTTCCCTCTAGATATTCCGGCTTCCTATATAATATGGTCCTTCGAAGTTTAAACAAAAATAAAAGAAAGGAGCAAAAGCCAATTTTACTTTGTTTTTGTTTGTAATTGTCATTCGAACCGCCCATTTTACAATTTTCGTACAAATCGTTCGCGGATCTGGCAACGCCGCAAACTCTGACAGGCAGAAACTTAACTGCTGTCTGCTGATAACCGCTCGTACTGCGGCAAGACTCTTGTAACCTTTTTATTTTTATTGAAACTGTTTTATATAATTATAAAAAAATCACTCATGATTTGCTCATGATAATAATGTTTTTTCTGCGACACAAGGGTGTTTTTGTAGTGTTCGTTTGTTCTAATTGCCTGTGAGTGTAATAGAAAACATCCAAACTGGCGAGCGACAGCGATAGCAAGTCAAACATGGCTTCTTCAGCGAGATTTATCCAAAGCCCCACCGCATGGTGTCAGCGGAAGGTGAATTTAAGACCGCAACATCGGGGCGTACATTTGGTCACTGAAGAAATTCTGAGGCAGTTACCAGAATTGAACTCATTTGTCATAGGGTTGTGTCATATTCAAAGTAGGTCCATCCTTCCTACCTGTCACTCCTTTTTCTCCAGACTTTTAATTTTTTTCTTTCGTTGCAGTATTACATACCAGCGCTAGTTTAGCTTTAAATGAAAGTTGGGATCCTGATGTTAGGGATGATATGGAAATGATGCTAAATAAAATTGTTCCTGAAGGGTTACCATATAGACATTCTTGTGAAGGTCCTGATGATATGGTAAATTACAACAAATTTTCAACTCTAGTAGCACTATTAGAAAGGATTTTTTCTTGGTAGTTATTGCAGGTAAATTTACCTTCTTTGATTCAAAATTTCAAGTTTCCAGAGAGTAATTCACATTGGGAAATTTAAGGAATAAGTTAAAATACACACTACTTACTGTAAGTTGTTTATTTGAAGAAACTATTGACAATTCCAAGAAAAAATCCTTAAAATTGTATGTTTAGTAGTTGTTGCCAAGGTTGCCAGGTTGAAAACTAAACAAATCTCTAGAAATTAGTCCAATAAATTGCTAGATCGAATCAAAAGTCATTAGTTTTTTTATAATAATAATAATCTTTATTTTGAGGAACAATCATAATACATATAAGACAATTCTTAAACAAAACAGTGTCAAGGAAAATATATTAATGATCACATAGAGTAAGTCATTAATTGTATATAATTCTAAATTAATTAACAATTCATGTACCTACTTGCCTTTTAAATACTTTAACATTTGCTAATCTTTTTATTGTATCAGGCAGTTTATTGTAAGCTGTACTCTGCTCTATGTTCTGTAGCTGTCAGCCTATGTATTGGATGTAATAGGTTTATATTTCTCAATATATAAGCATTCGTTGGTTCAAAATTTGAAAATAAACCTCAATTAAAAAATTAAGCATTCCTGAATGTATATGCCTATCACAGTTAAGATTTTATTTTTTTTAAATTTACCTCTAAAGACATTATTCTTTTTTGCACTAAAAAACCCTTTCAATTGAATTGCTCCCACTATAGAATATTATCCCTAATTTTGGATTCAAAATTTGCAAAGTATACCATTTTTATACTATCCCATTCCAAATATTTCTTCACAACTCTAATGCTGTAACAGATTGGCTCAGTTTTGTTACATATAAACTCAACATAGCTTTCCTAGCACTAAAAACTATCAATATATAGCTCCAGAAACTTGGTGCTAGTTGAGACCTTAAATATACAGTTGTTTTGTTGAATATTTATTGACATTTCATCTCTGTTGTAATTGGTTTTAAAAAGTACCACATTGAGTATTAATTTATTTATTTCAAACCATTTTTTAGCTTTAGTTATCTGTCTATCTGCATTTAGGGTTAATTCCATCATATCAGATGCATTTATTAAGATATTTGTGTCGTCTGCATAATTGGTTAGCACACAGTTCTTATTAGCAACCATAACACTGTTTAGTTCATTCACATAAATAATAAAAATCAACAGACCTACTATACTTCCGTGAGCTATTCCTATATTACATGTTATATTTACAAGATCTACCTTTCTCATTATTTTTATATATTTTGACAACTTGTTTCCTATCCTTAAGATATGATTTGAACCACCCTAATGCAGGACCCCCTAATTCCATATTTATCAAGCTTGTCCAACACTATTCCATGGTCTAGACAATCGTAGGTTTTGGACAAGTCTAAGAATAGGCCAATAGCCAGCCTACCATTCTCCAGCTCCTCTAGAACATGCTGAACAAACTCGAAAATTGCTGTTTGAGTAGATTTCCCATGCTGGTAACCCAGTCGATTTTTACTAGGTGCTACCTATAACAATGATAATTAAAAAAAAAAAAAAAAAAAAAAATACAAAATTTTACAATTTTCTCAATGCTCTTATTCCTGTTAACTTAAAAGAAAATATAAAAATAGTCAAACAAAAAACTATAAATGATTAACTATACCTATATTTAAATGAAATCTATGTAAAAATCCAGTAAACAGCAAATTTCAAGTTAATAACATTTTTCATTTTCTTAAGAGTATTTGGTACAATGACTATTATTATTGTGTAATAGAAAAATCAAAACAGACTTTGTTGATGTTATTAAGGTTCCATCAAGTTTATTAATTTGGTATATTTAGACTCAGAGACTATGTGGGTCTTACAAGGTACAAATTTTATAATATATCACAGAAGAAGAATTTGGTACCTGCTTAGATATAATAATAACAATACTACTACAAAATAACTAATAATAATTAAGAAAAAAAAATACAGTAATTTAATATTACACTATTACCTAAACCCATTTAAACATGAAGATAACAAATAAGAAAATTCTATTAAGTGAGCTTTTAGTTTTTTTAAAGAGGTCAGTCCTTATGTCCTTTTTAGTTCTAGGAAGCTCATTGTATTGTCTTAGATCATCAGATAAGTATGCTTCAGTCACCAAAGTATGTTCTTATGGCTGTGGTCCTGAAGCAGCAATTATTCTGAGTATTATATCTATAGATATCATAGGAAGTAGTCAGCTGTATGGATGAGTGTATATTATTCAGAGATAGGTTATGAATAAAAATGCATATCTGATATTTAGAGGACTGAATGTCTAGAATATTATTTGGAAGATACAAAAGATCAGTAGGATGACAGAAAGGAAGTTGAAAAGCTTATCTGATTGCTCTATTATTTAGAATTTGCCAGGGTTTTAGTCTATTTTGGGAAGTTTTGCTCCAAATAAGAGTTAAATATAATAGATGTGAATGAATTAGTGAATGATACAGAGTCTTCCTTAAGTCAGCTGAAAGATAGCAGTCAACATGTCCCAATACTCCAATGGCAGGACTAATTTTTTTACACAATTGACCAATATAATGTTCCCAGTTGAGCTTGGAATCTATGTATAAGCCAAGATATTTAATGAATTCTGTTCTAGTCAACTGTTCATTGTCTATATTTATTTAGAATTGGTTCCATTCAGGCTTTTTTGATATCACTAAAAAACTTGACTTTTCAGTATTCAGAGTTAATTTATGAAACTTTAACCATTCAAGAATTTGAATTAGATCTTGCTCTAGAGTATATTTTATTTTGTCTGTATCTTTTCCAAAATAGATGAGACAAGCGTCGTCAGCATAAAGTTGCAAATAACCAGCTAATAGTAGCTGAGCTATGGAGTTTATATAGATCAGGAATAACGTTGGTCCAAGAATTGACCCCTGGGGTACACCATAATGTGGAACAGCCATTTTACTTGAGGTATTTCCATAGTCTTCCAAAATAGATTACAGAACTGAGTGATTAACAGTATCAAACGCCTACTTTAAATCAAGTGACTGCTGACTATGTGCTACTTCCACTACGAAAACCCTTGTACCAAAAATTCTTTTTTTCAAGATAGGAAACAAGCCTTTGATTAATACATTTTTCCAGGACTTTGGAAATAGAACTTAATAGAGATATCGGTCGATAGTTAGTGGAAGTTCTTAGCCCTCCTTTAAATAATGGTAAAACTTTAGCTACTTTTAGTCCATTGGAAATTGAAGCATGAGTGAAAGTTAAGTTTATTAGGTTACTTAAATAAATAAAATGAGGAAACTGATGAACTTAAAATCAGTTTTTGCATCCAAATGGGCCAACTAGTTAATTTTCATACCCTAAATCTAAAGCAGATCTACTGATAATAAAGAAAGATACTATATTAACGAAAGTTCAGCCTCGTACTGCTACTGGCCGGACATATACTTTAATTAGGGAAGAAATGATTGAATCTTCAAACATTTTGGGAAAAAAAATTGAAACCAAAAGCTAGTTGGAAATATTTTTTCATAATAATATAAGTAATTTCTTGTAAAATTTAGTTAGTCTTAAGAAAATTACAAAAATAAGGCCAAAAATGTTCATAATTTTCTTTTTTTAATTAGATTTTCACGTTTTCGCAAGTTTTTTTTTTTATACTGAACCCATGATTTCTCTATTTTGAAATTTGGCATATATTTTGCCAAAGCATTGATAATAAAAATATAAAAAAAAAAAATGAAAAATGACTTGAAATAAAATAGGTCATATAACACATCGTTGGAAAGGTGTTTGAATTACCTTTACAACGAGCTTTATCTTATTGATCTACGATATTCTAATTTTTGTGAAGCTATTGATTAATTTTTCGATTTTTGAAAATTAATAAAATAAAATTAGAGAATTAGTATACCAAATTTTATCAAAATCGGTGAGATGATCTGCCATACCTCTTTTTATTTTGGTTGATTTGATATGAAATGACTTTATAATTAAAGTAAGCTATAATTATTTTTCTTAAAACTACTGGATTCAAGCTGATCAGTAATTTTATAGTAAAATTTCTAGTATAGGATAAGGGCTATATATTTGATATTTTGATGTTGCTATTTGACTAGTAGATACCATCTTTGATTGGTAAATTATTTCAATACACTCTGTAAAAAAAATAATTCAAACAGTAGTTTAATCTACTTTTTTAATCTCCTACTAAATTTATGTTTCTGAAGATACATTTTAGAGGGTATACTAACTATAACATGACCTCCCAGGAACTCAAAGTTATTCAAATTTGTGTTCCACTGATAATTAGTTTTTAACAAAAACAAAACATTATGTCATTAAATTTGACATATCGATGGTCTAATTCTAAAACCTCATATCTGCGCAAAAAATTCAAATTTCACTTTTTTGCGCCATTTGGTTGTTCATTTACTCTGTCATTAGTTAAAATACACTGTATTGGCTTCGGACAATATTTACATGAGAAATTTGACTACTTTTATGACTTGTATTGCAATCACATATGAAACTTCCCTACTATAACGTTTTTGACCGATATTTTTAGATAACTAACTTGAGGTTCTTTTACCTGCCGAACCCCCCTGTTTTGCTTTCAATGCTTTAAGTATGCATTTAATTTTGCGAGCACGGTATGCTCGATCCGAAAAATTTTTAATTGCTATTATTAGCACCCTGAATTACTCTGCTGCAATAATGTCAAAGCCTGTCATTATCGCCCTCTGAAATTTGAGTCAAGAACATTCTGATCCCTGGAATATTCCGTATCTTCAACTGGCGCTACCCGTGTCCTTTTGACACAGTCTTGAAAGGTTTTGGAGCAAACCACATTAACAAAACTGGCGCCCGAGTTTTTCCCAACTTAAGGCGTCATAATTAAGTAATCGGAATATATCGTATCTTCATCTGGTGCTACCCATGACCTTTTGACACAGTCTTGAAAGGTTTCGGAGCAAATCATATTAACAAAACTGGCGCCCACAGTGAAATGTGTCAAATTTACATAGCCACTCTGGATTTAAAAAGTAACTGAACTGAATGGAGTGATCTGTTTTTTTTAAGTAGACCTTGGAAACATTTACCTGTCTTCTTCTAAAGTGTCAGTTTCAATTTAATTCAGAGTCACGTATAGTTAAAACGGACATGATTACTTTAGAAACACTTTTGTAGATTACTCTGTATTTAGGTTGAAGTCTTTAAACAAATTGAATGTAAAAATATTGCAATGAGTAGCTACAGATCCGTTTTAAAAAGTATTGGATGAATTAACAATGTAGTAGAACAGTATAATTATTAATTTTTTTATTTTTGGTCCATCTTGACCAATATGAACTAACATTTAAATAAAGCTTCTTTCCAGGTAAGAATCCTGAAATGGTTCTGAATGAATAGTAACTATTCGCATGCGCAGTAGTTAAAACTGAACTTTTGGTTCTAATTCTGCCTTTGCGGTAAAACTGGTTTCATTCGTTATTGGTTTTTACTCACTTATGTTATACCTGGAATACCAAAGTATGAATTAGTAGTTCTGAATCAATTCAAGATTCTTTCTGCGAACAAAGCTATATATGTTTATATTTTCCAGCCGGCTCACGTAAAAGCATGCTTTCTGGGTTCCAATCTAACGATTCCTATAACGGAGGGTAAATTGAACTTGGGCACATGGCAGGGTATCTGGCTGTGCGAGCATCGCGACCACGCGGGTTCTCGGAAATTGATGGTCACTCTCAACGGTTGCCTTCGAGATAACGCCTGCACGCCCCTGTCCCCCGTCAGCCCGATGGCCAGCACCAGCAGTTAGGGAAAGCACTCGGGGCATTCACTATCCAAGCACTGATTGTCCCGAGTTATCCATTTTAAATATCTATCATTCACTCTACAGGTGAAAAACTATACAGACTTAAAAAAAATAAAACATTACGACAATATGTACATAGTTGTACATTGTAATATACTGTTTTCATTTTATATAGATAAGTGGGGTTGATAATTATTTTTCGCGTGAAACATTGTTTCGATTCCATGACGCAGAACGCAGTGCGAAAAGATTGTTATCTAAGAAGGCGATTCTTAAAATTACTATTAGTTAATTATTACTATAAAGATTTCAAAATAAAGCCGAGCTAATTAGTAAGTATGTACAATTTACTTATATTATAAGGAAGCCAAAAGTAATTGCTATAGTTTCCTCTCTGCATTTTACTCCAGTCGATAGTTTCGGTAAAAACACTCTTGGGGCGATTTTTTTCAATAAATAGTGTTGATTTGAGGCAAGAAATAACATGCCACTCTTTAAAATAAGCAAAATAGTTATCAAAATATGTTAGGTATATTAGTTCCAATGACAAATGACAGTTTTTTTTTTTTAGTTTTGTTTACATTTATATTTTTGTTACAAGAACTTAAAGTTTAGTTTTGGCAACTTATTAGAATCTGAAAGAACAGGAATGTTTCATATGTACATTATTTTTTATTCTAATATATTTAGATATTAAAAATAATATAGAAAATTAAAAAATATATACAATTATTGTTAGCATGTCTTTGTGCTTATATCAATTTAATTGTACTTTATTTAGTTTTTACTTATTCAATCAAAAATGCTTGTATTCAGATTTGAATCATATAGTCCCATCTTTTGCTTATCATTAAAAGTTCTTGTAATATAACTTTTGTCAAGATAGCAATGGGCGCCAGCCAAACTATTCCAATCCCATTTTAGTAACTCGTTACCGTTTCTAAACCATTCTTGAACCATTTAGAAGGTTTTGATAGAATGCTGACGTATTGCAGCTTCTATTGGTGACAAGGATGCAAAATAAGCGATTTTAGGTAAGGCTTTCGCAAAAAGTTGGGTTATAGACTGACTCAAAAAATCTACTTTCACTGAATCTGTCAGTGGAACCAAAATTATATCATCACTAATTAATGAAACTTCGCCTAATATCAATCATTCTAAGAAGGATTATTATATATATAAAAATTGCTGTTCGCGTGTTTTTATTTTGAAAAATTACTGATAATTCTAGACAATTTTTCTAAAAATTATGCTTTATTTTGTATAAAGTTGAAGCACTTTTCTAGCATTGCGTTCAACGTTCAAATAAAAACATTACATTGCATACAACTAGGCCAAAAGAAACATTGTACGGAGTCTCGTTCCACTCCCATCAATTAAAATGTATTTCTTTTGCTACCCAGTTGTAATTATTGGTTAAGATTGACTGCAGTACCAGTGACACAGTCAAAACTAGCCAACCAATTAGGAATAAGCACAATTTAATTGAAACATTGTTTCACGATTTAGGTGCTGTGCATTTATTTAATAGGTAAATATAGGAGTGATAGTAGATCGAAAGCATAAGATAAATTGGGTTCTTTATAATTTCGAGTAAGTTTTATCGGAATAGAATTGGCCCAAAATAATCTTTTTTTTTATTTGTACAATGTTATACAGACAAGCAGTTTGTTGTGTCATATGTTGGAATATTGAAACAATTAGCAATAAAGGGATTTAGTTTTTTAATTCAATAACGTCCTGTAGATTCAGTTGACAGTTTAACATTATAATTTACCGTCAGCTTTTTAATTGGATTTTATTTATTTGTATTTTATTTTCTATTTTTTCTTGCAGATTTCATTAATATCTCTTTTAGCAAATATAAAATAAAAAGAAGCAAATAAACAATATTTTTAATAATTTTAATTATATTGTTTAGAGGTTGTAAATCTGTAAAAAAGTAGACTTTCTATTTGTTTTTTTTTTGTTTATGGTTTTAAAATTACATTTTTGTTTATTAAAATAACATTTTTTTGTTTTTTTTTTCCTTTGGTTTACCTGAAATAGATCTTTTCTCGTGTTGACTATTTTAAATTTCTAGGAATCACTTTAAGCATCATTGTGTATTCTAATATTTTCCATTGTTTTCCCAAACATTGAATTGTTTAAATCCTAATAAATATGGCATTGGTCAATGTTTTAAGTCACAGAATACCCCAAATAATAGAGCATCTAACTTATTAAAAAGATGGAACTAACTTTATGGCCAATGTGACTGTATATTAAATGAAATATTTGCGATAAATACTAATGTCAAAAAATTAAATAAAATTTGCAATTCAAAATGTTTTCGGGTAATAAGCCATAATCAAAGTATCCTAAAATAATTATAACATCTATCAATGAAGATTCTTCACATTTGTACATTAGAAGTTAACGGAAAAATAGCGAAATAAATTATGATGTTTGGGAAACGGTATTTGCTACATTTTTATCGGTACATCTTCCTCTTATTGAGTTTATTGTACGTTGACTTTCCATATTATCTAATTCAGCACAACACACCTCAATAAAACAAAAGCTTGTAAAAAGTATACGAATAAAAAATTATTCTAAATTAAATTATTGAGAGTCGAAACGAAAAGAAGTGGCTTGGCCTAACGCTTCAATTATACTACGGTTTCAAAATAATAGACAGTGAGAAAATTTCAGGAATGCTAGCATCCTTCATCGCTCCAAAATTTGTAAAGAAACGGCCAATTTTTTTTATTTCGGGTTCCATGAGGTAGCTGAAATGATACGAAGCGTTATCCATAACAACAACTTTCTTTCGTCCTTTTTTGGGGTAAATTAGGAATCGGCGACTCCTCAAACCATTGCTTAAAATAAACGGGCGTACATTTCGTCATGATAATCGCCATCTTTTTTGTTTATCAAGAAATCACGGTAAAAATCCACCTTCATATCATGCATTAATAATAACGAAACGTGGACCTCTTTGTCTAGATGCTTTGAGGCCTATGATTAAACACTTCATAAAAGAATCTACGATTTTTTATGGTGTTATCACACCGTTTGACCCAAGTCTCATCTAAATAGCGTTACAATTTTGTTTGATGGCTCTTAAATACATGTGTCGCCAATGAATGTTTAGTTCTAACATGCGTTTACGACCACGCTTCACATATTCAAATCCAATATCTTTCATCAATCCACATAGGGTTCTTAAAGAGAACGATGGTGAATTCACATTCCCTCGAATATGATAAATTTCATTCAAAGTTGGCGGAATGTAAAAAAAAAATTGCGTGTACAATTCCCTCAATAAGCTCTTAACACGTTCGCTGCGACTTAGATTTAGAACGAGGGCGTTCAGTGCTAACCTTTCGTTTTCGCTTGAAAGCATGTTGGGACAAATTATTTATAAGTCACGCGCACATGACAAATATAGCGCATGACTTATTAACGAGTCATGCGCAGCGAAAGTGTTAAAACCCTCATCATATGTATATTCGTGAGAATCTGACAGCCTTGTCAGCTTTTTTCTTGCAGGAAATTTTAATTCGCTATTGTTTTAGTCCTCTTCTTTTTTAATGGTATATATTGTTTTTCACTGTGGAATTACTAACGGGGCACTGCTTGCTGAAAAACCTGCATGTAATAATGGAATTATACAATGATCCCACTATGTGGGATGGAAGAGAAATAAACCTCATACCATGTGACCTTTTAATGCAAAGCTCTTATCCTTTTCGGCCTAGAACCGGAAAGAACGCCCCAGGAACACTTGGTAAGGAACTAACCAAAGACACAGGACTATTCTAAAGATAGTACCTGACAGCACGAGAATACAATAAACCCAAGATGCCGCAGTGTTCTGGACCAAACCTAACCCTATCTGCTTATATAACCGACTAAGTTAAAGACCCCACTCATTTTGGAAGCCCGACTTACTGCTGCAGTCACACTCAATTTTTCGTCATTTTATTTTTAAACTATTTGTCTAAAGTATAGAATAAATACATATCATTTTTATATATTCAATTGATTCTCCACAAAATTTATTCTAGTTGGGTATTTAGACACGTTCAGAAAAGATCTATTTTGAAAATAATCCTGGTGGTATTTTATAAAAAAAAAAACTGCAATCAAAATTTTCTCTTCGATTATTACCGTTTGATTTTCTGTATCCTTGTACTAGATATTGACAATAATTTATTCAGTGTATTAAAAACTTAATTCGTTTTAAATTTCAATGTTTAAACAGTCCACGTGAATGATGTATATATAGTAAACGTTACGGGTTGTAAATATTATGTGTTGTTCAGGACTGATTATGTCTTGTCTTCCGTATCCCTTTAACAATTCGTATTTCTTTATTCACAACTGAAGAAAGTACCAAACAAAAAGATTTTTAAAAAACAAGAACTGCATTCTTTGAGAATAATGTACTCGTGAGGTATATTTAGAAACGGTACTTTAATTATTTAAGACAGATTTTTTTTTAAACTTTAAATGATGTATAAATATTCTGTTTGCAAAATAAATATATAATTTCTTTTGAATCTTGTACACAAATAATACTACAAACGTTTAATATATTTGTTTCGATATTTCTTTTATAACTTAATAATAATATATTTCTGTACTGTAACTTATCCAAAAAGCAGAGTTCAAATTCTAACTTCTATAAGGTTAAAAATTGTTCTTCTACTCAATACAAATAAAAAAAAATATTTTGATTCATGGAAAATATAAATCTATACTTGAAATATATAGAATTCAAAATTAACATTTTTTTTTTTTTTTTTTTTTTTTTCATTTGTTATTGAGGTGGTTAAACTGCTATTATAGATCGTCTTTGCTTTTTTGGTGATTACTTAAAAGATTTGAGTTTTGCAAACACAATTTTTACCTAAACTTTTTAGCTTACTGAACGAATACATTTTTTAATTGAGAATGTGCACATGTTTTTATTACATTTATTCCAGTGATTACATTTAAAAGGTTTAAATGTTCATAATAGTTTTTCTATTACTGATTCGGTTTCTTAGTTGTACAGGAATTTTAATATAATTAGTAAAATTATTGATATACATAAAAGTAATACTAGGTTATGTTACAAGGATAAAAAGTTGAGTTTTTCGGGCGACTACGAGAGCTTGCCAGACGAGACTTAGCCGAGCCTGGCAACTCGTAGGAGTTCGAAAAAAACACTTTTCATCCGTGTTTTATACGTTTTTTATTCGAATGTGCATAGATATTAAAAAATCTGATGTGTCCAACATATGACTTTCCTATCTAGTTATTGCAGGCTTTTTCTGGTTATTTTCTTCAACCTATTGTATCACCTCTGTAAATATTTAGAGGTAAATTAAATATATACATTTTCCACATACTTCTAAATCGAAATATTTTTTTATATATATTCATTGTCAACGAAAATACTGAAAAATGAAAATTTTAACTTTTTTTTAAATACGTCGAATACGGTCCAAAGTCAACTTTCGTTTAGACGAAATCAGTTATGGTAAAACTGTTGCCATGGGAACGCTCGACATAGTAACGACTAAACAAAA